CATACCTATGACAACTAGAAGAAGGCTCCATCTAAGAAGGCTGTCTTGGAAATTAAAGGACAGTTTTCCGCATGTTAAACTATTGAAAATCAATAGGCAATGTTCCATTGCTTGAAGTGGTTATTAGACATCAGATGTTCACTGCCAGAACTGTCATGATGCTCTCCCAAGTTAGACTTCATTTAGTACGACATGGTTTCTAACTGCTATTCCAACCTGTCTCTGTTGTCTGCCCAGTGCTTCCCTTCTTTCACCTACTGCTGTTGCCGATCGATTTATCATTTGTCTTTATCTTTTTTGTTTCAGGCTGTAGACGAAGGAGTGCTTAGTGGATAAGATGCAGGAAAGTGCACTGGACTTTAAAGGAGGAGCGGACATGGTTTTCTCCTATGTGTGAAAAAGAAAGCAAACAGAATTTCTTCCATCTGTACAAGGCAAAAAGTACTCAGAAGTCTAAATGCACAAAAGAAAATATCAGACTTTTATCCTTTTTTTTTGGTACAGTAAGTGCACTTAACATGAGATCTACCCTCTCAACATATTTTAAGTGAACAGACTGTATTGTTATAGATCACATATTTTTAGGAAAAAAAAACCTCTTAGTGGAAAATGTCTCTTCAAATAGTATGGAAGGAACAAAAATTCTCTATGGAGTCCATTTATCAGCTAGGTATTGTTCAATTGCAGGTGACAGAAAGCCCAACATAAAATGACTCATGCAAAATGAATTTATTGTTTCAAATAAAAGATGAGGTTGCTTAAGGCATGGTAGAGTCAAGGGTCAAGTAATTTTTTACTAATAAATTTTAGGATAGTTTTAGATTTGCCATGAAGTCACAAAGATATCATATGAAGATTCTATATTAACTCATATTCAGCTTTTACTCTTGACACCTTACATTAATATATGTGTCTCAGGTGGTGAATCAATGTTGGTACGTTAAAGTGTTATTTACTAAGTTGCATACTGTATTCTGATGTCCATAATTTTTAACAAATGTCCTTTTTTGTTCCCAAATCCACCTTACACTTAGTCTTTAGGATAATTTGCTTTTTTTGTTCAGACCATTTCTTTCTTTGCTGTCAGTGATGCTGTTTTTGAGCACCATAAGGTGTGTTAGATGTCTTTCAAATGAGATTTGGGTCTCCTTGATAGTAGGACTATGGTTTTTAAGGGATAAAACCACAAAGACAAGTACCATTCTTCTTGTATCAAAGTTACCTACCACCAAACAACTTACTACTATAGACATTAGTCTTGATCACCTGGCTGAGGTAGTGCTGATCACCTTTCTCCACTCTAATAGAGGGCTCCCCATTTCATTATGTGCTTTTCCTGAGGGACTCACTATGTTTACTGCACACTTTAGGAATGGGCAGTTATGCTCCATCTTCTGAAATATTTATGTAAGTTACATGTGGTTATTCTTCACAAAATTCTTGTTCATTCTCATTTACCTATTCATTTATTTTGATCAGTACTAACTCATAGTTATTCATTTTATTCTTTAGATTTTACTTTGATGCTACTTCATTAATTTTGTTTCCCAGATTGTCCTAGCTTGAGTGCTTTTTCATGTGGCTGTCATGTCCTTTTGATATACTCCCATCACTGTGAGAGTAACACAGGAGAAGTTCTTACTTTTTGGCACTGCGAGATTATCCAGGGTAATCTTACATATCCCTGGTCCATTATTAGACTTAGCCATTTATCCAGGAAGTTTTTGTTCCTTTTATTGGACAAGCATACTAGAAACCAGGATCAAAGTGCAAGGAGTATTCCTTTTTATATGGGTGTTTATATTGTTTCTAAGTCTTTTCAGCTGACAGAGCAGGGAAATTATGCGGTTACATTAGAGGCTTAAACAATTATATCTGGCCTCAGATTTTCTTCTTTATAAGCCAAGTTCTTCATGTTGACTCAATTCTCAGGAATTTTCCTTAGCCTTGCAAGGTGTGTTTAACGGACCTAAAACTTAAGTCTTAACTCTTCCAGAATTTCCAAGCGATTCCTACCACATATAACTTGACTCTTTAACACACTTGCCAACACCCTACTTCCCACCAAAACTTCAGTACAGGCATGAAAACTGAGATTTCTCTTGTATCAAGCCTGCATTATGTGTGCCTCAAAAGAGACAGTGTATTGACTCTAATGAGATGAGAGCTTTGGAGAAATGACTTTTCAAATGATGATAGCAAGAAAGGAGAAATGTGTACTGTATGGTTGAAAAATTATCATTTCTGCAATTGTTAGCCTTTCTACGAATTCAGGAATTCTGAAATTGGCTACCACTTACTGTGAAGTTCTAAGAGAAAATAAGAGCTAGTTTTCTAAACAGATGCATCAGTAAGTGACTCAGGCTGTAGTAGTAGCAAATGAACGCTATAACTTCTGAAATTGCACAGTATTTTGCTACATACTTGCATATGAGGATTTTCTGCACTGAAACGAAATGTAGAGTACATCCATTGTCAGAATTTCTTTATGGTTTTGCTTTTAAAAATAATTTCACTCTTACATAAATGGAGCATTCGGCTGAGACCAGATGAGATAAACTTAGCTGTCCTTTTTGATTACTGCTTCATTTTTACTGTCTCCAATGGTTTCTTTTATTTACCTTTCAAAGGAACACACTTCAAAGGAAAGTAGACAGTTTACTGGTCATTCATCAAAATGTTAAGGCATTTTCTTCCCCTATCCTCATTTTAAGTTTGTAAGACATGGAAAAGAAAAGACTAGGACAAAAATGCAATGCATTAAAACTTGAACTACTACTAAGATCTAAAGCTTTGTTTTCTTCCTTTTTTTTTGTTTTAATAGGCCTTTCATGCCTCTTTTAAATGAAAGAAGCAACTTAATTAAGGTGTAGCATAATTCTTTTCAAATTGTCTTTGCAAATACACACTACTAAGATATAAGCAGTCATCACAAAAGTTTGTGACATTTTTTGAAATCTGAAGGCACTGTTTGTTTACATTTATTAAGGTATTTTTATTGGGTCTAAAATGTTACTTAACCATTGTATGTTTACAAAATAAAATTTTAAACAAACAATATTTTTAAAATTTGAATTTTAAAAACACTGCTGGTTAGGTCTTTATACAATGTGTTTCAAATTATAGTTGAGCCACAGATATCTTAGGTGATTTAAATTTGATACTATTATGTGGATATAAATTGGTAACAAAGTCTTATTTGGAATTTTCATAGAATTATAGGTTTATATTTTGAGTGGTATTCATGGATCAGCTTCTTGGAGTTACTGATACATTTTTGTTTTGATCTTTTGACAGACATACCACTTTACTACTTTTTGCCATAGATTTTGACTATAATTTATTTTTATGACTAATTTAAACTATTTCCTCTTTTAAAGTGATGACTATTTCTAAAAATATTTAAGTTTTATCTTAAATCTGTTCCTGTATATTTAAATTCCTTAAAATATAATATTCAGTTTGGGCCTGGCTTATTCATTCTATATTTTGTAAATTCATAAAGAGTTAGTTACTGAAAATATCTGAAATATTAAAGCATTTTTCATCCCTTATTTCATTTACTCTTTGTATTTAGTAAGATAAGTACTAAAAAAATATTTTTACCGAACAGGAAACTGAGGCTCACAGAGCCTTAACTAAGATAGTTCACAAGAGGTAGGATACTAACCTCTCTGCAAAAGTTGACACAATATATGTCACAAAATATGCAGCCCTGACTACTCTTAACCCAGGTCATTTTTCAGGCTAGGTTTATAGGAAATACCCTTGAGAAATGAATTCCTTAGAAACCAGGATCAGACTTTCTATAAAAGCAGTGTATTCCCCAGCTTCAGAATTCCTCTCCTGTATTTTCAGTCACCTACACCCAGAGTAGCTTTGAGGTAAGAAGTTGAGGACAAAAAAAGGTGACTAAAGAATAAATATTAGGCTTGAACTCTCCAAATAGTACATATAATTGTGATCTTGGGAGTATTCTAAAAAAACCAGTCACATCAATGAAATGTAATAGAAACAGCCAACATGTCTTAGTATGACTGTTGCCTAGTAAGTTCCTAATGCTTTATTCCTTGCAATTCTGAGATAGGCAGCATTGTAATACATCCTTATCTTAAGAACTGGTCTCAGATTTTACAGCTAGGAAGTGTGAGCATTGGGCTCTGAGTGCAGCCTCTTTAGCTCCACACCCAGGGAAGGTGCTCAGTCACCTCCTTGGGATGTTCTTGCTATTTTTGAGAAGCAGGAGCTTTTAGAGTTTTCCTTTTGCATCCAGTATTCACCAAGAAGAATCGAATAAAAAGGGGCCTGCAAGAGAAAGGGTCTTGAAGATGCTTCTGATATACACGTTTCATAAAACTGAAGATTAAATAGGCCTGCACATGACAGGGCACATATCTGCTATATATTATGTTCTGGCTTTTAGCTCTTGATTTTATGCAAATGGCTTTACCTTGGCAAAAAGCCAATGCTCCAAACACCATTTCTAGTCCCAGCACATGAAGCCAAAATCAAAACAGATGTCCAGATAAATGCATTAGAGATAGCAAAGAAACCCACTACTGTGGTCACTCTGATCACTATGCATCTGAGGAGGTTCTGGTGCTCTTCTGGGTTAGTCTCTCAGTTACGATTCTGGGACCCTCTCTCCTCCTCATTATTATTGTTATTATTATTTTCTCCAGGCACTATCTCTTTTCTAGGAGTTTACCTTGGGAAAGATTGGGGCTCTACAAACAACTACAATCTGGAAATGTTAGAACCAGAGAAAAACAATTTAGGGTATAAAATGAAATGAGAAAGAAATGCTAGGGTCAAAGAGAAGGAACACCAAGCTGCTAAAGTAAGAAGATATAATCCAAGCCCACCACTCCAGGTACTGAGACTAGCGCTTTCCGGGTAACCAGGCAACAACGTTGCCTTGGTAACCAGGACAGCGCTGTGGGCCCCAAGAAGCCCTTAAGTGTCCAGGTCAGGGGGCGGGGCCCGGGAGCGCTGGGATCTCGCGAGAGCTGCGTGAGCCATGGGGACTTATCCGGGACGCTGCCGTTGCCCTTAGGGACAGCGGTGGGCCGGCCAGGGGCGGGCCTCCGAGTGGGACAGATGGCTGCTCAGGAGAGCCAGCCCACCTCTCCTCTGGGGGTCTTAGAAGCAGCGCTGGGCACTGGGTTGACAGCCTCCGGGGACGTGGCAGCTGCGGAGGCCTCAGAGGGCGCCTACTACCTGGAGCGTATCCTTCATTCCCGTGTGGCGCGGCCTGTGGGTCCTGGTTGCCGGGGCGGGGCTAGATGAGACTGGGCGGGGCGAAGGTGAGCACCGCCCCTTGGGCTTACTTGGAGGCGGGACGCTGCGCTGCTGGAGCCCTGAGCCACTGTGGCCACTGTGTCACAGCTTTTCCTTCGGCTGCCACCCAGTGGATTTCTCCTTTTAGGAGTGCCGGCGTTGCTCTTAAAAGAACTGATAGACCTTCCACAATCTTGTGCTTAATAACTGCTCAAGACAATTTTGCTTAGGGGCACAACCAAGAGCAACCCCTCTTTTCACTTAATGGTTTTCCTAAATCTTCAAGTTTTCAGAATAGCTTGTCTCTAAATGTTTGGCGACTGCTGCCATTGGCCTTTAATGAGCAGAAGCTCAGACTACCCCATCGGGATCCTGGAGATGGCCTATTTATCCATCTCAGGTCATCGCCTTCCTGAGTAGTTTAAGTATTAGTTGTTTAATAATGACAGTAATAATTGCTTTTTGTTTTTCTTGTGCCATAAAGCGATGACCTGGTGCACTGAAAAGTCTCTGAGATGACAGGAAGAAATGATGTTGAGTAGTTATTAATGCAAATGCTAGAAAAATTAAGTAATCGTGTGGATATTTCGTTGTAAGGTAGTGCATCTTTCCTCGACGTACATAGATTAGTATAGAGATTCATGATACTAGAGAGATGGAGAAGCTTGGGAGAAAAACACAACTAAGTGCTTTCTTGGTAGATGAGAGCGACGGTTATCTGTTTTATTACTAAAGATATCAAAGTCTACAACTCCCCCCTCCACCAGCCGTAGTTTAGACTAGCTAGATCTCACCATGGAGGCCAGGCTGGCCTCACACTCATGGAGATCCTCTTGCATCAGCCTCTCAAGTGCCAGGATTACAGATATGCAGCAAAATGCCTGCCATAGTCTGCCTTATTTTGTCCCAACTCAGGTTCGTTATAGATTTATGCTCTAGGAAGCCATAAACACTGTAGTGGAAAGATCACAGAAAATGTGAGCTATTTTATTGAGTGCAAAAACGATTCTCACAGGAATAAATTCGAATAGCTTAAGATTATTTCAAATGAAATACACGGGTGGTTTAGTATCATAAATGACATTTTATATTTTTTTCATAACTCTTAACAGCTGTTTTTTCTAGTAATATTCCTTTTTAACTTAAAAATGATTCATTTGTTCTACATGTATCTACATCAAGTATGTTATCTAGTGTCCTTGCTAGTGAATGATAACCAAGGATCTGTCAATTTTGTATGTATTAAAATGATTTCTATGAAGTTTAGTTGTTAACATAAGATTAGCACAAGGCAATAATTTTTTGCAATATCTTTGTGAAATAAATGACATGCTACCAATATAATGAAAGTTTTAAGAATGAAAATCAGATTTCCTTAATTTGCAGGGAGGTCTCAGAATCACAGTTGCCAGGGTTTAGCAATTTGCAAAGTCTTCTGCAAATATTCACATTAACAGACACAAGCAATTCTAATTTTCCAGAATTTTATTATAGGTTTTGTGAATTATCTATCCCTTTTGTTTTTCTTCTATCGCTCCTTGGTTGACTGATTACTATTTTGGTTTTCAGTGGGAAGGTAGTCAGGGAATAGAAAAGTTAAACATTTAAGCAGTCAATTTTGCTATATTCAGTGTTCAGGGAAGAGGTTTAGTCATGGGAGAGGCTTTAACTCTTAGTTAAAATGAAGTTTGAGGATTACTCATGAATGCCAATTATCCTTGTATCCCTGGGCTCTCTTCACATGCATAATTAAGAGTTGATTGTATAATGTTATTTGACATTGTTTCTTAAGGCAATTATGATAGCTGCCGAAGTGAGACTTTCTTGGGTTTTAAAGTCTTTAGCTCTCAGGTAATTTAATTGAGCTACTTTAGTGGATAAATAAAAGTTATAATATGCATAAATGAATCAGAAGTCCGCTGTCCTCTATTCTGTGCAAGTACTTGATCACTTTTAATCTGCATTTGGCCCTGACTTTCCTCACTTACGATTTAGCACACACTACTAGTGCACTAGACATGGATCTGTCAGTACGGTACAAAACTTTGAAAGAGATTGACTTGAATTTTTCAGGAAACCCATCATCCCTTCCCTGTGTTCATTCAAATGTAAAAAACATGAATGGATTAACGTGGCCCAAACTGCCTACCTAGACAAAGTCTTACCTGGGGGTGGGTGGGAATGTCTTCATTAATAAAGACTTCACTTTTCCATAACAGCTTAGAGACTGTGTTCAAGGGGGAGAAGTCTTACTCTGGCTACACTGCAGCATCTCTCCCTGTAGCATCCTTGCAGTAAGGGTGGCATTTATTTCTCTTCTGAGGAACTTAATAGAATCATTGCTTTTATGTCTTAAATGTCTACAATATGAGATACAAATACACATGACACAGTTCTTATTTTGCAGCCAGGATTTTAAGAAATCTACTAATGGAGTGGCTGAGTCCTCTGTACAGCTCTTCATTGGGAAAATATTTGCAGTATTAAAAAATTTAAGGTTAGATTTAGACTTTGAGGTATGAGGAGGGCCAAGTATACATATCTTCAGAACTTGGTTGATTGTGTTTTGTGAATGAATCCTCTATAGGAAATCAACACAACTTGGTAGTAATTGTTAATGGCTGCCTCTGGTTGGGGACTTCTGGGAATGTCCACTTTCAACTGGCCAGGCCAGACAGAATCTGCACTAAGAAAACTAAAGGTTAATTGATTTTGTTGTTATTTATTCAAGGGAGCATAATGGAATATGGAGCCCTGAAAGCATTGTTTTAGTTACTTGATTCTGTGCTCCTCTAATTAACCTTTATTGATTTCATTTTTCTATGCATTATAACAGTAAGAATTTGGCTTCTCCTACTGTGAGTAAAAATTTTCTGGCCACTGAAAAAGTCTCTCCTGTTCCCAGCAGAAGTTTCTCATGATGCTAAGCAACTCTGGAAATAGTCCCAAAGTCAGCTTTTGCTGTTGTTAAATTTTCAACTGCAAAATTAAGGATTCCACACTCTGAAATAGGAGGCTACTATTAGAATGACCCCATATCTAAGATGCATGTTTGTCTTTGGAAGTAAAATCACCATTCCCCAGTCTTACACGGAAACAGTATCATTCACTGATAACTTTAACAGAAGTTCAACTTTTGCCCTTTTTGCTTTTTATTATTTTGTTATTATCATTAATTTTTGGTAAAATAAACATTGCTATAATAAATGAAGGTAATTAGAAAGTTGGAAGATAGTTAAAAAGCTGGGTATATAGTTTTCTGTTTGTCTTCTTATTCTTTCACATAATGATTTTCTTAGATAAACTCATTTTCTTTTGTACCACACAAAGTGGTACTTCTCTGAAATGTTTATACTATTAAATGAAAAGATATTTGTAAGGTTTTTAAAATTTTGTACCCAAATAGTATATTTCTTATCTTTGGAAAACTTTGTCCATGTATGCTTTGATATTAAAATATATATACCCTACCTACCTTCAAATAAAAAAAGATACTCTGAATGAAGAATATGGACCAAGAGTCATGTTACTAAATCCAGAATGCCAAGAACTGTATGTATGAAAGTCAAAGATTATTTAATAAGAAAAATCATGTTTTGTTCTGTTTTCTAGTGTAGACAAACTTTAGTGTGCAACAGAATCTCCCCTAGATCTTTAGATGAGGTTTTAATGCCATTTTGCTTTGCTAACAAGACTGCTAAGTATCTGGGCCGAGGGCTGTAATCGGAGTAGCAAGCCTGCAGACAAACACCTTGCCCTTTATCCTTCCCATTTTGAGGCAAAAATAGAACGCATGGCCCCATATCTTTGAATCTCCTGGCTTAGAAGCTGGGAAAGACATATACCATCAGCCACAGTGAGAATTGTGAGGCTTCCACATGCTGAAAGAAAGTTACTTTCCGGTTACTGTGGTAGAAGAGATATGATAGCCATCTAGGACAAGAATGGCCAGTGCAGTTCTGTTGAATTACGAGTGACTCCCTGTGTTACTAACAGTTCTGAGAACTGATGGATACTCCAGTGGTAAAGACTAGGAAGCAGACAGCCACAGAGAAAGTGACAGTGACAGCATGCCAGTTCTTTGCCATCTTTCATCTATATTCTTCAGTTAACGTGCTTTGTTTATACTGGCATTCCTCAAAAAGGGAAGCAGATTTGATATTTGCTATTTATGTACTTTTGCACTGTAGTAAGTGTACCGTTGACGATGGATGCCCCAGGGTAGCTTCTAGATTGCCTGTGTGTGCACTGGCTCTGAAGTGACAGCAGAGGTGACAAAGTAATCTCGTCTAAAGGGACTTTGGGAAGTAAAGGAAAATATAATTATGTCTCACTCTAGTTATTTATAAAAATGGTGGTGGCTGTGATCATTACCTGTAAATTTAGTGGCAGAAGACATTAGTGTGTGAGGAGCTTTGTTGCTCAGATCTTAAGATTGTTCACTGGTTCTGACCCTGGTTGATTTGCAGAACACTGTGAAGTCCTCATACAATGTCAAGCTCTGTTCCAGTAGTCCAGCTGAAATGCTTTTCCTAGTTATTTGGTTTCCGGTACCATCATGTGTTTAGGGCTTCCTGGCGGTCGCTGTGTTACATTGGCTTATTTTCTGATAGGTTTTGAAATGTCAGAATCTGGTAAGAAACAACTGACAAGTGCCAGAGGATGATTTATATTCTGCAGACTCACAAGTTTTCCTAAATTCCTTCTGCAGCAAACGGGGATGTGGTGGTGTGCAATGCTCGCTCTGTGTCTAGCTTGTGCCACCGAGATACCAAATTTTACCTAGAAGCAGGTGGTGATGTGCCTTGTGGTTTAGGGCTGGAAGGAAAGGGGAGCCACAAAATGTACCCTGAGCAGGAGCAGACTAGAAAACTAGGCACAGTCGAGGTTAAACGGACAGAAAGCGGGTGCTAGAGCAGAGGTCAACGGACAATGTGGAAAATAAAAATGAATTTTGAAATTCTAGTTCAAACACTTTCTTAGAAGGAACTGTAGGCAGACAGAGGGAAGGGAGTTTGTAAGGGCATGAAGCCAGCTGAGCAGTCTGAAACTGATTTTGAACTAGAATGCTAGCTTATTTTTCCAGTGGAAAAAATAACTCTACAACAAAATTCTTGACTAAATTGTTTAGATGTTTCCTGAAGTGTAGGATTATCTAAGATTTTAAATCACTTATGAAAAGGGAGGAGAGCCGTTGTAAAGGATTTTATTTATGAAGAACTAATTTTTGATGAATTGCTCTTTTTGCTCTTTATAAGATTGCTGTCCAGAAATCTGCTTTTTAAACTTTTCCAGACATAGTGAACCACTGGAAGCTACTTTACGCTGTCTTTCAAGCTGCCCCAAAGTTCAAAGGGATTAATGTCTGTACAATGGAGGGTGTTTTCCTTAGGAAGACCCAAAGTATAATTTCTCTGAGACTTTGAAATCGTGAAACTCATCTCTTCTCATTGGGTAAACGCTGGGCTGGCACGTGATTACAGTCTTCTCTTCCTGACTCCTGGGCAGCTTGGAGCAATCTGTGGGCTATGTTTAAAAAGTTTGTGAGACCCATGGCATGTGATGCCTCTTTATCTTTCCATTCGTTCTACTGTTTCCCTTTTGCCTCTAAATCTAAATTTATATTTTGTATGATACACAGATTTGTAAACTGTCCCAGAATTGCTTTAGGATTAGTTTGTGTATTTCTCCATAGCTAGCTAGCCAGATAGATGAGTGTGTTCAAACATACATGCCAAATATATTGATTTCTTCAATAACACCGCAGCACCGTATTTAAACTGAGTTGCTTCTGGGAAGATTTTCTGTACAATTTTATTGTAGATAAAAGTATCAATCAGTGAGGATATCTTTTCTTATTTAGAGTATTTTGTCCTCTATTTAACCTTTTGTCTCCTTAATCTCTTGTCTTTGGTTAGATTAATTTTTGTGTCAATCTTTTAGTTTTTTATAGTTTTCCCTATCTGTCTTCAAACTGAGCAGAGTGACTTGATTTAGCTGGTTGTTACATTCCCCTTGAGAGTTTGGAAAATAAAGTTCATTACCCAGGACAGTGATGGTGAACCTTCATGAGCTTTGAATGATAACAAGCAGCCCTCTGTGGCACATGTGCTATATAGGTCTCCACCACTAACACAGGATATTGATAAAAATTGTACTTTTCTATTGCATCAGTGTAGGGAAAGTATGCTGTAGTAAAAAATTCATACATTTATACTAGAGAAATTTGTCTGGAGAAACTTGGCTTTGTCACTCACAGCTGTGTGACCTCGGACAAATCTCTTAATTTCTCTCATGCAGCTTCTTTATTTTCACCTTACAGATGACTGTGTATGTGTCATTTGAGTTCATAGAGTTGTAAAAATAAAAGGATTATTATCCATGCAAAACTGTTTCCATGCTTATTAAATGGTTGTTGATTTTCCTTATAATCTTTATTAATTTGGGGGAAAGCAAATATGATGCATAATTAAAAGCTGTTGCCAAAAAATACTTACTGGATAGAAGTCAGAAATGTTTTTTGATGTTTCAAGTGTTTGATAACAAAGGACTTCTCTATATTGCTACATTTAACAACTGTCCGTAGCACTTCTAGCTAATAGAATCTCACCAAAAATACTTTTTTTTTGTGCAACTTTAAAGTCTGTCCAGATGATTTCGGAATATTTACTTCATTTTGAAATTCATTATAAACGTGAAGGATGACATTGCTTTGCTGCAGATTTGAAGACAAGGCAAATCAAGTATGCTATCAAAGTCATGCCCTGGTAGCTATCTCTGAGAAGGGGCATACTTCGTTGAAAAGAGATAGATTTCTTTTAGCTCAACCTCAGGAAATTTTATCTTATTAAGTAAAAATATATTAGAAAAATATAGATATAGAACTGGAAGAAAATTTAGAATGTCTTTTTTATTTAAGAGTTCATTTTAAGAGAAGTAGAGCACAGGAGACTGAAGAGATTTGTCTTTATGCATTCCTTTCCAGGTTCAGGAAAATAGTAATACCAGATAGTTGTCTAGCATTTCCTATAAGCCAGATATCAGTTTAAATGCTTTACAGGTATTACCTCTTTTAAATCTCTCGAACTCTAGAAGGTGGTGTGGTAACTGGTCAGCCTCCAAGCATTAATGATTTTGTATGGAATTTACCTACTAAATAATGTAATTCCTATGTAACCGATAGGATGTTGAAGAAATGATTTTTAAAACTTGGTTATAGAAGATGTTATGGCTGTAGTCTACACCTTGGAATACTATGAGGGAAGCTAGCTAATGGATGTTGAAGTGGCTTCAAGCAGCCTGTGGAGAGAGCCACGTGGGAAGAAGACTGAAGCCTTCAGCCAACAAGTAGCCTAATTACAGTGAGATGTCTTGGAGGTGGATCCTGCTGCTTTAGCACAGTCTTCAAATGAGGGGCACCTGTTGTGATCTTGACTGTGACTTAGGAGAGACCCAACTCAGAATCTTCAACCGAGTGACTAATGAGCTCTTGACTCAAAACTTTGGGGCAGAAATGGTGTTTGTTTGTTTAAACAATGATATTGAGATTATTTGAGAAAAAAAATTTGTGTATTTTCAGTGTATACAAGTGCAATATTTTGAAACACTATGTGCTTCATTGTAAAGTTAATGCTACGAGCAAACTACTTAATGTACTGTGTCGTGTTATCTTTGTCTTTTGTAAGTACTTAAAATCTATTCTCTTTGCAAATGTCAAATATGCAGCATATTATTTAACTATAGCCAGTATGTATTACATTAAGTGTCCAGAACTTATTAATCTTATGCCTGAAAGTTTGTCTCTTTGACCATCATTTCCCAATTTCCTGCCACCACTAACCCCTAGTAGCACTCTGTGTGTGTTGGACTTCGTTTAGATTCCACGTATAAGTGAGAGCATGCAGTGTTTATTTTGCGTCTAATTTATTTCACTTAGCAAAATGTCTTCCAAGTTCATCCACGTTGTGGCAAATGGCAGTATTTGCTTATTCTTTTACCCTGAAGTTTTGGGTGGTTAGTTGTTCAGTAGTAATAAAACATACCGATTTCGATCCCTGGAGAGAGGTGCTAACACAAGAAATGTTTTAAAGATATCAGAGTGGCTTTGAATCTGGTAAATGTTGAAAATATTGTAAGTTGTGTGTTAATGAAAGATTAAATACCTTGAACAGACTGCTGTGCGCTCGGAAGCTTCTGGCACGGGATTGCAGGAGAATGAAGCAAATGCTATTGGAAACATTTGTACCAGTAGGTAACTAACCTAAGTAGGCACTTCACTACCTGTAGTACTTACTATGGATGAATTAAATTTAGGGGGCAGGACTGAAAGTGTGCAACATTTTTTGTGTGGTTGTTGCTTGATCTTTTACGTATTTTTTTTTTTAGCCTCATTACATTTTGTCTTATTATGAGGAGACACACTCAAGCTGACTATAGAATACTGAGATATTTTTGACAGACATCTGGTATCTGAGGATTTTCCATAACTGATCGAACTTTAAGTTTCTCCCACGAGTGATAAGGATAAGGCAGGAAGTGAAGAGTGATTACCTGTGAGACAGCTGAGAAACAAAAATTTAGAGGTTGAGAACTCTGTGAGGGTAATTGGAAACTACTTCAAGTATTTATGTAACACAAAAATCACACACTGAATAAAGAGAGGCAGTATTATATGTGAAAGCCTGATCCGTTGGGATTGATCCCCAACTCTGTTTGGTCCTAGCTGACACCTCATGCTTTTGATATTTTGATATTATTATCTCACTTTTACAAAATTGACGCATTAATAACTGCTGACTCATAGACAGGATGATAGTCAAATGATATAGTGAGATTTAACTAAATTTTTTTGCTGAAACGTGAATATGTTTTTCATTTATATTTAAATCTTGCATGCTTTTTGTTCATACACAATAAACAATAAAGTCATGGTTTATTATGAGTAATATATGTAGGAAGTGGAATATTTAGTATAGCTTTTAAATTTACTATTTCTTCACATCTCTAAATTTATATTAATGTATTTTGTATATTTTATAAACATTCCTAGAATCAAATTAGAAATGATTAGATAGTGGGCCAGTAGAAATAAATGTAGCTTTCATGATGTGGATTGTGTAAAATATTCTAATTAAAATATTTTATATCTTTACTCCTAGGGTGTAGGAAAGCAAATTTTTTTTTGGAGTTTACAAAACTCTTTTTGGTGGTGAGGTACTTAGATTCAATATTGTATTTTATATAGTTAATACATTTTAATACAAGGTATTCTATATTTTTGAGATTAAAACTTGACAAAATATTCAGAAGTGACCATAACTGAAACATCTGAAGATGATTATGAATATGAAGAGGTAATGTGTTAATTTTAGATGTTTAAGCTGTAAATTTATTACAGTCATTCTTGTGAACTGTTGGTTTTATTTTCTGAAACATGTAAGCATGTTTTTTTCTTAAGCAACACTAGCTTTTTAGCTGATATCATGTATTAATATCATGGGGTTAAGAATGAGATGGGAAGATTCGGTAAGTATTTGATTGGGTAATAAATACATATAGTTTTTTATGGTTCTTCTGTTAATTTTTCTTCAGATTCAACTGCTTTTCACTCGATTTGTGGATCCTGACTGTAGACTCCATCTTTGTTCAGGAAGCATTTCCCATCATCCTCTCTGCTCCTGTCAGAGATTCCCAGAATTCCACTGCCCAGTAGGAGCTCAGGCCTCTTGCTTCCTGCCAGCCTAACTGTATTGCTATAAAATATAGTTCTTACCTCAAAGTTGTCCATTTATTCATTGTCCCCAGGAGACCTATCATTGCTCCTGATACTTGGAGGATAAAGTCATTTTTCTGTGACAAGCTGTGAATGAAACTGTGTGGAAGCAACCCTTGTGGCCTGGATAAGCAAGGGGCAGGGCAGACTAAAGGACAGGCTTCTGGTAAATGGAGACAGAGTTGTGGTCACTCAATGAAGTTGCAGATTAATTTAGATGTAAAGGGTGAAGTAATTCTCAGCGTAGAAGAATGCGATAGATGTTGGCTATCGTTAATATGTTATCCCTTGATTGTAACACTTAGTGATTTTGCTTTGTTGTAATAAACCAGACATTTTCTATTATTACAAAAAATTAATTATGGGGAAAACTACAGAGGGAGAGAGGGTGGTCCCATTTAGATAGCATACCAATTTTCAGCAAAATTCTTAGACCGCATTTGTCAGTATGGATAAAAGCAGTTGCCATGAGTTGTAGTGACTGACATTGAAGGACAGTTAATGAGGTCAGAAAGCTGTTTGCTTATTCTCTGTTTTCCACAGATCTTTAGAATGATATGGTGTCTTACAGAAAATACATTTATTTTGGAGGTTTACTTTGTCATGAAATATTATTTCTAAAATGAAATATAGTAGTCTCCTCTTATAGTTTAAATTTCTATGGCTTTATGGTCATTTACCCTCCAAAAATATTTAATGGAAAACCTCAGAAAGAAATAATTCTTAGATTTTAATAACTTTAATTGCAGTATATTGTTACCAATTGTCCTATTTCATTTTATTTATTGTTAATCTCTTACTGTATCTAGTTTTAAAATGAAACTTCATGGTTATATGTGTAGAGGAGAAATACAGTATAGAGTTTAGTACTGTCTGCAGATCAAACATCTATAGGCTGTGTTAGAATATGTCCCAAAACTTTTATTTTTCTGCTCACTTTTCCTTCCTCTGATCCAGATACCAGATGATAATTTCAGCATTCCAGAAGGTGAAGAGGATTTGGCAAGAGCAATCCAGATTGTTCAAGAACAGACTACAGATACTCAGATTTTGGTGAGAATTTTAGACACTATTGTAGCCTGTAGTTTTCCAGTCATATTTTTTATGTGAAGTTTTGAAAGTTATTCAACCTTTAAATACTTTATTAAATTCAACACTATCACCTGCTATGAATTTTTCACTTCTGTTTGTCACCAGACTTTTACTTAAAATAAGCAGTCATATTTATTTTTCTTTGGATTGCCATTCTCTGTATCATGGCAACTTTGGTATCACTTTGCAACAAGTGACACTTTTCCTTATGTCATCTATTTAACAGAAGTAGTCTGCTTTCAGGAACCATCTAATATGATGTTTTCTTGTAAGGCATATGAGCTAATTTCATTGAGGATTATGATAGGGAATGCATTTTGGTTATAATGTCAGTTAAAAGTATATGAGCCTGATAGCATTCTTTAATGGTTTAGATCTAAATGTCTCCAAAAAGTGTTGTGCTCAGAGATGGGGCTTCAGGAAGGATTCACAAGGGCTCCAACCTTATCAGTGATTAAGCCCTGCATGAGTCATAACTTGATGGCTTCATTGAGGTTATGGAAGCACAGGGTGGAGCAGAGTGGAAGGAAGTACATCGTGGCCATAACTCTTGGGAACTACACCTCATGTCTGGCCCCTTACCATCTGCTTGCTCTTTGCTGTCCCTGCCTCCTGGCTGCCACAAGGTTGCAGCTTTCTTCTGCCATGCTGCGCTGTTTCTGCCTTAGAGCCACGGTTGACTGTGGGCTGAAAGTTCTGGAACCAGGAGCCAAAATAAAACTTGCCCTTAAGTTGTTCTCAGGTATTTTGTCATCATGACTGAAGCGAACATACTTCCAGTAAATTTGAAAACTCCATTAAAAATTGATCATAATTTTATTATGTTAGCAAAAAGTCCTTTAAAAAGAACTTTATGTTCTTATGCCAACATCAATTAAAAGATTCTTATTCAGCTGAAGATTCAAAAAACACTTTTGAGACTTTACTGTAAATTATCACCTATTTCAATCCTTCTGTGCTTTTCATCTACTTCTTAGTCTAGAAATCCATTAAATCTTTTTTCAAATATCTATTTACTCAAAAATTTAAAAAGCTCGAAAAAGGAAGCTATCAAGAAGCCAGAAATGATTACATTCTATTATAAGTTGGTGGCCCCAGTTAAGAGTAAATTGCATTTCCTAATGTATCATATGGATAAGTTTTTCTAGGAAACATAAAATGAAGTCTATTATTTAGATCTATTAATTTGCCTGCTATCTCAATGCAATAATTCATAGGGATAATTTTATTTATAACTTTTAAGTATTTTTTAGTGTGTGTAAATATATTCATTATGGGTGTTAGTACATATACATATTGTATCTGGATTTTTTTTTTTGAACTTACCTTTTTCTTCCCCTCTCCCTTCATCTGCAGAACCCTTCTTGTCTCCACTAAATCTGTCTCCACATTTCTATCATTTATCTTTTATTTTGCTCTTCAAATTAGTTATATTTCGGGGTTCTAACATGAGACACCATGCAGTGTTTAATCATTTTTGCTTGATCCATTTGAATTAGCATTATGGACTTAAGATGCTTCCATTTTCTTACCAAGCATTCAAATTCATTCTTCTTTACATCAGAGCAAATATCCATTCATCTGTGATGGGCATATAGGTTGCTTCCAAAATTCAACTACAATGAGTTGTGCTGCTATGTATATATGGGTATGTGTGTATCACTGTTTTATATTGCGTCTGACTCTGCAGATACCCAGAAGAGCTATAGCAGTGTCATGTGGAACTGTGACCTTTGTAGTGGTTGTACAAGTTTACATTTCCACCAGCAATGCAGAAGCTTCTTTTTTCCTCACAACCTTGAAACTATTTGTTTTGCATTCTAGATAATAGTCATTCATTCTTAGAGTAAGTTGAAATCTGACGTTGTTTTGATTTGCATTTCTCTAATAGCTGAAAATATTGAGCATTTTTTACCTACCTTTTGGATGTTTGTAGTTCTTTTGAGAAGTGTCAGTTTATTTCATTTGCCTGTTTTTTTTTTTTTAAACTGGACCTTCTATTTTTTGGGAGGTGGTTAATTTTTTTGAGTTCTTTATGTATTTTAGAATTTAGTCCCCTGGTTGAGGAGTAGCTTGTAAAATTATTTTTCCTATTCTGATAGGTTGTCTTTTCAATTTGTTGTTCGATTCTTTTGTTGTGTAGAATCTTGTTAATTTTATATAATCCTGTTTGTTGATTGTTAATCTTATTTTTTGTGTAATTGGCTTCCGTTCAGAAAGTCTTGGCCTGTTCCTATGTTTTCAATAGTCTTTATTTACTTTATCTTTCAGCAGAGTAAGTGTTTCTGTTTTAACATTTAGATTTTTGATCTATTTTGAGTTGGGTTAGTAATTGGTGAGATTTGTGGGTCTGGCTTCCATCATGTGCATGTGGATAGCCAGTCATTCCATTGCTGTTTGTTAAAGAGGCTCTTTTTCCTCCAGTGTATATTTTTGTCCTTTTGTCAAAGATCAGATGGCCAGCCAAATGTACCTGGTGTTGTCACATCTTTTCTTCTGTTCCATTGATCCATACACCTGTTTGTATGCTAGTGTCATGCTATTTAATCAATTTAGCTTTGGCTCTTTTGGATGTTTTCTGGTTCTATATGAAATTTAGAGTTGTGTTTCTGTAGTTCTGCCAATAGTTTAACAGGGATTGCATTAAATAGATGTATTATATTCATTAATGTGGCTGTTTTGACAATCATGGTCCAACATGTCTTAAAACAAGGGACATCTTTTGAGTTTTTGATATCTTCTTTCAATCTTTTTTTTTCCAGATTATCAAAGTTTTCATTATAGAGATGTTTCATGACCTTGGTTAGGTGAATTCCTTTTTTTAAAACTATTGTGAATGGAATTGTTTTCCTGTTTTCTCTGTAGAGTCATTGCTAGTGTACAAGAATGTTCTTGGGCTTGTGTATTGATTTTGTATCTTGGTACTTTGCTGAATTTGTTTATTACTTTTAAGAGTCTTTTTGTGGGGTTTTATAGATCTTCTGTATAAAGGGTCATGACATCTGAAAATAAGAATAATTTGATTTCTTCCTTTCTTAGCTATATCCTTGTTATATATTTCTCTTGTATGATTGCTATGGCTAATATTTTGAGTACCATGTCAAAAAGAAGTGGTGCAAATGGAAACCCCATAATATGTTCCTGATTTTAGAAGAAATCCTTTAAGTTTTTGCATTCAGTGTGAAATTGGCTGTGGGTTTGTCATTAATGGCTTTTATCAGTTTAAGTAAAAGTGCCTTATATACCTATTTTTTGGCAATGTTTTTATTATGAGTGGATATTGAATTTTGTCAAAGGTTTTTCTACATTTATTGAGATTATTATGTGTGTTTTTTTAAAATTTTATTTAAAAGGAAAAAGAGAAAAAACAAAACAAAACAAAGCAGTGTAAGGGTACAAGTAATACAGAACTACAAAAAAAAAAAAAAACCAGTAAGAAATCACCGGTTAATAGATTACATATTATCATCTTAGAGATAGTTGCTCAAATCACAGTATCAAAGCATACAAAGTGGACACTCAAACAGTGAGACTGCAAACAGTTGTGTTCAATGATCCACCCAAAAACATTAATATGGTCAGCTATTTAACACCCCTAAACACTCTTGCTGTTGTATCATTTAGAACTCTTTTTTTTTCCCTCTCTTTTTTACAACAAAATTTACACATTTTGGGTTTTATTACTCCTTAGTTCTTATTACTTTTTTTTGGGGGGGGGAGAGAATAAAGTTAAATATGGCAAAACAAAGCTGTCAGTCAAACCAAGGATAGACATAGCACATGATGCAAAACAGAGTACAAGGTTATCAAAAATGGTTATCAACAATGTCTCTTGTTTCCTTAAAAAGAATTGTCTATCTCATTATATATTATAAAGTTGAACAAAACAGTAGAGAACAAGACCAATAAAACTTAAGCATTGTAAACATTACAGGACTTCCAAAGGAGACAATAGTCAAACCAGAATGGGCATCTTAGTGAATCTTATTGCCTTCAAAGTAGTTGCCTATACCCTCAAACTTGATACTATCATACAGAATGGAACAGAGTCTAATCAGTCAAAACAAGATAGTGGGAGTATTACAGGACTTCAAAACAAGTTAATAGGAAATCAAAAAAGTTACTATTATATACCCTGCTAATTTTTTAAATTTTTCCCCTTAATTAAAAAAAACATAAAAAATAACTAAATAATTTTTTAATGAATAAGGCAGAGATTGAGATAAAATAGGTCATAACAATATAACAATACAGGTCAAAGCATGACTGTTTCAGCAACCTAGTGGTTCACCACCAAATAACCCGACTTAATAGTAGTTACCATAGTGTCTGTCTTTTTCCTTGAAATATTTGAGTAAAACTTCATATACTATAGCTTCAAGTATTTCCATATCAAGAAGCCCAGAATAAAGCCTTTCCAATTAATAAGTGAAAACTTTATAAGGCTTCAAGGCCACATAATGGGGAATCATGATTACCACATATTTGTATATATTTGAATCATTACTTACATTAGGGAAACTATTCGGTATTCATACATGCGAGATTGATTTATTTCACTTATGAGTATGGTCTCAAGCTGTGCCCATTTATTGATAAATATCTCAATGTGATCCTTCTTTATAGCTGAATAATACTGCATTGTATAGAAATACCATAACTTTTTTTATCCATTCCTCAGTTGATGGACACTTGGATTGTTTCCAAGATCTGGCGATTACAAATTGTGCTGCTATAAACATAGGTGCACATATATCACTGTGGTATGATGCTTTCAGTTCTTCTGGGAATAGGCCTAGAAGTGGAATAGCTGGAATAAATGGGACTTCCAATCCCAACTTTTTGAGAAATCTCCAGACTGACCTCCACAAATGCTGCACCAATCTACACTCCCACCAACAGTGTAGGAGAGTTCCTTTTTCCCCACAGCCTTTCCAGCATTTGTTGTTGATGGTTTTCTT